TTCAAAAGCTACTGAAGAAATTTGGAGGAGACTTGTAAGCATTAATTAATCCGGTATTAACGTTCATAATTCGATTTTAAGTTTTCCTGTAAATTCGCTATAAATTATGCTGGCGGACTTCACAATAGTAAGTCACATAAAGGAGTTAGTATTGGTGACATGTAAAATTCAAATGTGTATGGAAAAAAAGGTGTCGAATTTCGACAATTGGGCGATACTAGTCTAACGAAATGTTACTTACCCAGTACATGTACATATGTATATAAAATAACGGTTGCTTTTGAACCAAAAAATGTCAAGGGCTTCAACGTTCAAGTCACCAATAATCACATTCGCTTATCCATTGTAAATAATTTGTAACAGTGATAGTTTTAAGAATTGCCAGTAAGTATTCAACCATAAAAACACAAAAAAAGTTTTTTCGAAATCTTAGATCTTTAGTGATTAATCTACCGACCATTGAATTTCGAAAGAATATATGTACTTACGTATATGTATATTAAGGTAACATGAATGTTACTTTTTTACTACTGAAATATATGTTTTCAATTCATCGGGAATTTTGAGGGATACATTTTTAAAATGTGGGCAAGTGACAGATTTTTCCCCGATTTTCGTAAGTAATTTAAGCCCTAATTAGACGCATAAAAAAATCACACAATTAGTCGCATGGGCTCCCCAGTGACCCCAATAAAAGTGTTGAAAACAGAGTTTTTAAAGTAAAAAAAACTAAGTGTATTTTATCAAAAATAATAAAGTACTCTATTATCGTTAACTTAAAAAAAAAAACATATTTTCGACTTCAAACTTAAAAAAATAAAATAAAACTTACCTCCCCAAAAAAATGTTACATGCGTACACGCCGATGTTCTTGCAGTGACTTATTTACGTACCCCGCGGGGAGTTAGGAAGCTAGAGAGAGCGCGAGCTCGCTCCAAGCACTCCAAGACATTTTTTTTTTTTCAACTTGAAATGGCCTTGACCCCATGGGCCTAATTAGGGGTTAACAGAGAATGTCTGGCATCACTGATTGGAATGTTAAATACATTTTTTGCTATTTTTGTGCTCACGCCAATGCAATGACAAATTAAAATTTATACAGCACACAAATGTACATACAAAAATACCCGCCTATATATGCATGTATGTATTTACATATGTACATACATACTCAAATAACTATTATTTATCAAATAGATCTCAAGCATGAATGTCTGGCCGTCTATTGATTGACAACAAAGTCGTAAGCGTCTCTAATTTATTATGCCAATAAATGTTTGTGCTAACCAGTAGTCTAGGAAAGATGGTAACTATAAACTTTCACTTCACGTGCTTGTAGTTGGATTAGAGATAGCAGTCCAAAATCCTATAATTGTTTACGGGAAAAAGACAGCAAAATTATTTACATATACATAGGTTTGAGTTGTTTGTGAATATTTGGGGCGCGATATCCTCGACTATGGTAGTATCGATTTTGGGTATTAGCTGAAAAAATATTTATTTAAATTTTTTGAATATCTATAGAGGAATCTGTACATACTTTTCCCCCTGTGCGACACGCCTTAACCATCCTCAATCGGGACCAAAGTTTATATGTGATATTAGTGGCCGTGGTACTACCGATTGAGGGAGACCACCCTTGGCACTTGTAATGTCAGATTGAACTGAACTCAGTAATCGCAGTGACTGACTTATAAGCATAGTTGCCAACTTGGTGCTTTAAGCACTAGATTTAGTGCTTTTGGAAAATTAAAACGCCAAAAAAAAATTATTTAGTGCATAGTACCTTTTTTAGTGCTTTTTTCTGAACTAAAATTACTCCGATATAGTTAAAACCTGAAATAATTTTTAAATATTTAAAGCTGTGGCAGCACTGAATTTACAAAAATCTACAAATTTAAATGCACTTAAATATAACCATGATTGATAAAAAGCTGAACTTGCAAATTCACCTTGTTCAATTCTATTCGCGTTGAAAATGCTAGTAGATATGCGAGTAAGTTAAGTATTTCTTTTTGTTCGTTTCTAATTATTTGTAAAAAATTTTATTTTTGTACCACCTGAGTAAAACACATTGTTTCTTGGTGCTGAATCCAAGTCTGGCCGCACAAATGCTCTAGCACTAGAATTTTGAGATATCCTAACCTCAAAGTGCCAAAATCACGGCGATATTTGAGGTTATATAAAGAAAACAAACATTTTTTTGGTCATTTCTACTTAGGGCATGATTTTCGTTTGTTGGGATTCGATTTTTCTTTCTTGAGATATATCAGTTTTAATGTGCAGTACTTCGGTATTACGTCGTAAGCATGACTCATTATAGCATGTGCCTTTTCAATCGTTATGAGCGAAAAAGTTTTGTTTATTGATTTATGTATGCATTATTGTAAATATAACAGCATGGCTTACTGGTGTTAAGTAAATCTTATGCCTCTAAATCTTAAGAAATGTAAAGTAATGTGCTTTTAACGAAGAGCTGTTCATCCCCCTTCTTATACAATAGGTAACCATAACCTGGAACAGGTATACAATTTTGTGGACCTTGGTATCACAATGGATCCTAAGCTTAATTTTAATCTTCATATTAATGTGACAGTCAACAAGGCTAAAGGTGTACTTGCATTTGTGAAAGAATTTTGTGACACTAAAATCCTGTTTACAACATTAGTTAGGCCAATTCTGTAGATCGTTTCTGTAACAATTCTCTACCAAGGCGAATCGAGATATGAATTCGCCGCCCTATTCTCTACTGCTAATGAGTAGTAGAGAATGACGGATATTCTCTACCAGTAGAGAAATAATCGGTAGAGAAAAGTTACAGAAGCGGGCTACTGGAATACGGTTCGGAGGTTTGGAATCCAAGGTATCAAATTTACTCAGACAAGATAGAATCAATTCAAAAACAATTCCAACTTTTTGCTTTAAGAAATTTCCGTTGGGATTCTCAATATAACCTTCCACCTTATACGAGCCGATTAAAACTTATTAATCTTCCTACACTTTCCAGCCGCAGGCAAATGCTTGGTACAATTTGTATAGTTAAATTACTACAGGCTCAATTTCAAGTCCGCTTCTTCTGGGCGAAGTTAACCTTAATGTTCCCTCCCGGGTATCAAGACACTTTTGTCCCCTATTTCTGAAAGCTTGTAAAACTAATTTTGAATTGCCCGACCCACTCCGTTGCTTATGCCAGGATTTTAACTCTCATTGCTTATGCCAGGATTTTAACTCTCATTCCAGCACGTTTGATATATCAGATCCGCTTTTCAGCATTAAGAAATCGATACTGTTCTCTCTCAATAAATGAATCATTAAAATAAAGACATAAAATCGGCTGATGAATTTAGTTCTGTAGCTGAACAGTTTTAGATCTCGACACTTAACAAACTCCTGCCTATCGTGACTCGGCGCAAAAATTGAAAATAAATACTGGTTCCGTACGTCATGCGGACTGCGCCCCTCGTGCGGATGGGCGGGAATGGAGCGTAAATCCCGTTGGGATTATTATTATTATTATATTGTTAATTTTTTGTTTGGGAAAATTTTCCAAAACGGATCCAGGCTTTGAAAAAAAAATATTAGGGAGTATAGAGGAGCTTTTTCAGATTCTAAATCTGAAGACCCCACCCTCCGGAGGCTTATAGTTTTAAAGTAATTCGCATTTAAAGTTGCAAAAAATACCGAATTTAACCTCACCTTTTGCTTTGTACACCAATTGAAGTGAAATGTCGGTGCATACATATGAAAAAATGCCTCAAAAACACAAAACGGAAGCAATAAAAAAATGCAGATAATAATCGCGCGATATTTAATAAAAAAATTTAATTATTTATTGGTTGATTTTTGATTAAAAAGTTGCATAATTTATCAAAGTATCGATTTTATAATAAAAAGCGATGTTTTATTAAAAATGTTCATTATTCATCGAAGTATCGATTTTTAGAATATAAAGCGCCGCAGGCGAAAATTTTTAATAAAAAATGGCGCAATTTTTTATTAAAAATTTTCGATATATATGGAACTATATTAATATATGGTTACTGGGTGTTTGTTTTATATAAAATCGCGCGATCTGCATGCGAAAAAATAAGAAGAGAATAAAAGAAATACCGTTGGAATACGGTTGCAATAAAAATATGACGATTTTACGCACAACTCCTTTTTGTGTTGGCCGCGTTTTAATAAAATCCTTTAATAGTGGCGTATTTACTTTTAAAACGTATGGCAGCACATATTTGCTCTTACTGTCGGCCATTGTTATTTCTGTTTGTTTGTGAAAAGTGGTAAAACGTGAACACAAATTTATAAACGCGTTTTACTTAATTAATTGGTGAATTATATATAATAAAAGCATAAAATACGCATGTGAGCATTGAAAATATAATATGTAACACAAAATATAAGTGATAAGTGGCATATTTTAAAAAAATTAGGGGGTGATAGTGGACATTATTTAACAACAAATTGCTAAAATACTATTAGCAATTATATTGTGAGAGTGAACAATTCATGTTGAGGAGGCCTCCCCCAACATCCTCACCAAGTTTCATGACGAAATTCCTTATACTTTCGCTGAAATTTCGATTGGTTCCATTTTGGAAAGCCCACCCTTTTGTTTTTGTTAAACACATAAAAACTGTTATAAAAAAAGCATCAATTGATTCAAAACCATTTGGTGCTTTTAGTGTGGTAAAACGCTTTTTTTTCCAAGTTTTTGGTGCTTTTTGAAAATCAAAAGTTGGCAACACTTCTTATAAGTATGTATATAAAAATGTATGTACATACCTATTTATAAAGGCTAGTATTGCACATGTATGTATGTACACCCATATGCATTTTCATATGCTAAGAGAGCGGCGCTATGCTAATATAAGAAAAACATATGCATATGTAATCACAGCAGAAATTTCCAGTCAGAACAGTAAACAGAAATTTAAAGATGAATTTAATCCCTTAAATGTATGTATTTAGATATGTAAAACTATTTGTTTATCACTCACATAGTTATTTTAAGCTTTATCCAGATTTTAATATTGTTTTCCCCAGATTCTGCTACTTTCACAATACGTCATACATGAAATTCCAACACAGCACAAGTTTTTCACCGGTCAAGCGTTTACTGGAGCACACGTCACCCGATCTTTTCAGCTATTTCACACGCAACTTAAAATATCACTACCTACTTAAGTATTTACGCACTCCTACGAGCATAGGGAAAAGAAAATAAAACAAAAATAACGCGTCGACTTGGTGAAACAAATACGCGCAGATAAATAAAATGAAAAAATTACAACTCAATCAGTTAATTAATTCGTACATTAACTGCCGACAAGATATGTAAAACTGGCTAAATTAGTGAACTGTCAAAGCGCACAAAGTGAGCGCGAGTATTGAGCAAATTTAATGAAAAAAAAAAATTGCGCATGAAGAGAACAAGAAACAGCAGAAAGAGAATGAACAGGTTTATAGAAGATGAGAGCCTGCGGTGTGATTGTGTTGAACACATTAGGTTCGCTTAGCCGCACAGTGGTATGAAGACGAAAATCACATTTGTAAACTAAAGGCTGCCCAGAGAATCATCTGTTTTTTTTTTTAATGTAAAAAACAGGCAGTCAGTGATCGGACTTCTACCACATTGTGGTAGAACTACCACTTTCTTGAGCATCTACCACTTCTACCACACAAGGTCTGAAGTCTACCACACATTCGCGTTTTGGAGTAGTTTAATTTTTGCTCGACATATTTTTTTATGTTTTTAATTTTGGGAGCAAAAATTGTCCAACACTAAACACAATATGATAACAAGAATGAGAAAATACAAGATTTAAAAGTAAACAAAGCCGAATGGGAGGATAAAATAAAAATAAACTTTCAAAAAACAAATCTTCTTAATATTAAATTTTTCGACAGGAAACGTATTTCAGTTGCCTTAGATGCAAAATATATGATTTATAAAAATAATTGAGAATAGGCAAAACCCAAATAGCAGTTTGTGGAACGCACCACCTTTGTTCGATAAATTGTGATGTGATAAAAAGAAAAGCTGGCAGCACTCCGCAACGTTGGAGAAATCTCCCAAAGTAGGTTCGAAAAATATATTTATAAGGAAGGAACTGCTTTAAATTGTCAAGAAAAAAATAATAATTACAAAACTCAACGCAGTTTTTAGCAACTTAAAATTTGCACTTTGTTGCATGAACTAAAATTTAAAAGTTTTTTCTGGAGATTCTAATTGAAAACTTGCAATTTATGTGAAACGTTGCACAATTTTTTTTATATTTGCACAAAGTTTGAAACTCGGACTTATATGGTCTTTTAGACATGAGCTATACTTTTGTAAAAAATTAATAAACCTTAAATAAACAAAAGAAAAATAGTCAAAACTTGTTGAACAGTCGCGACCCTATTAATACTTATTATATTTTCTATTTCGTAGTACAAAAAAAGATAAATAAATAATAAACTAACTATCCAAAAACTGTGATCTACCACATTTTTTTGAAATCTACCACATTTTTTTCCAGATTCTACCACACAGAATTCTTTTTAAGTTCGATCACCGCAGGCAGTATGAATGAATCTGAAAAATCAGAAGTGGGATATGCAGAGATTTAAAAAGCTGCAAAGTATTTTAAACGTACACTAGTAATTCTTTTTTATAATAAAGCATTGGAAAATTCATTTGTCGAACTGTAAGCAAACTAGAAGGATTTTTTCTGCCCTTCTTCTGCTGTAAATATCGGTAAATCTATCAAAGAAATTGCATCAAAAGAAAAATTAATTGGAAAGCACCAAAAAAAGTGGACTTTAAAGCTCGTGGAAGTTTAAATTAAGATAAATCCGTTCGTAAATAATAAGGTACTCCTTTTGTCGAAGATCTTTTTAACAAAAAGTCAATCTCATCTCAAGTCATGATTCAATAATTAAACGTTCGTTAAACCGACAGTTGTCTTCCCCCGCGTCGCTACCTTAGCACTGACACCGTGTTGCTTCTTTGCAAATTTACATGAAAAAGTTACATAAAACTCGTAGTAGTTTTATTTTAATTTTGAGCCCTTTTTCAGTTTTTTTAACGGTAATTAGCACATAAATTGCATAATTCACGTAGATATATTAATATTTCGTTTAAAATGCCAAATTTCCTGCAATTACCTTAGAATTTACAAAAGGAATTTCACTAATAATTTTCTGCTTTGTGAACTTTTCTACTACCATTTTCGCACCAAGGGATTTCATTCTTCCCCTTTTTAATTCCTTTGAAAATGCAACGTTTTGTAAGGGAGTGTCAAACCGCGGCTGTCAATAATTATCTAACCTTTTATTATTGCATCATGATCTCAAGTCACTAAAATTAGCAATTACTGACTCTTTTTGTGACTTGAGATGATATGGGTATTCAGTAAGAGAGTGTCATAAAAAGTTCACCAAATATGTGTGGTGAAAACAAACACAGATACTAGGGGTCTTCCCTTGAACTCGTAAAAGTCTCGTAAACCTCGTAAAGCTCGCAGATTTACGAGCCTCGTAAAAGAACTGCCAAAATTTGAACTGAGCTCTATTTACGAGCCCCTCGTAAATTTACGACGCAAATTTGATGCGCAAACGACCTCGTAAACTTCAGTGTTGCCGAGGGCCGACATTTTTATACTGAAATGATGATAAAATAATGGAGATAAATAAAAAAAATAATACACGAATAAAATGAATGAATTTCATCCACTAACTGTATTGACTTGGGTTTTCTGATAATTTTCGGCATTTTTAATTGTATTTTAGCCAAGAGTGATAGAGACAAGATGGCGTGATGTTATGGAAAATACAACGAAACAAAAATTGCTTCACAAAATCCTGGTTGATCTGTTAAACAGTCACTTTACGCACCTATTTACATGCATTATTTGCTCTTTCTAGCTGGAAAGGTGGGCCGTTCAGTTTTTTGAACCAGCCTCGAATCCAGTATCTGTTAGTACTTATCGAAACATTTCCCTAAAAAACAAATTCTTTTTATGATATTTCAGTATTTTGGTTCATTTCCTAATGAAATTGTTTTTGAAGAAATATTTCCTCGCTTCATTTGCTCGTTTTTTCTTTTTAATAATATAGAAACCTTAGATCTTTTCCTCCATATTTTCTTCGTTTTGTGACCTGCTGAGAGCTAACCGACAAATTAGTGACTTTTTTTGAGACTAGAGATGTGAGGCAGCTTACTAAATACCAACTATTAGTCTCAAAATCGATGTTCACCACGAAAAGTCACTATTATCTAGTGACTAGAGACTGTTTACTAAATCCCAAGGTAAATACATATGTTTAAATAGAGAAAGAGATTATTTGTTCGGTTTGACGAAATTTTTTTGCAACTTGAAGTCAAATTGATTCGAGATGCTGGAGGCGAGAAAACTCTTACGATACCTGGTGCGGTGATCTCAATCGGCGTATGAAATTACTCGTATTTGTATTACGGTAAAATATTACATGAAGCAATTGGTAGTTTCATTCCATAGTGAATAACTCCCATGGAGCTTTTCAAGCTTATTTTTGAAGTTCGTAGTTTTCTTCGAAAATATTTACAGAACAAGTAGCACTGTTTTCCGACTGAAATCAAATATAGCTCACAAAATCCATAAGCATACCTAGCTCAGTCTAAAGCTTGAAACACATCGGAAACGACAGGCCACGGGCCACATCTCCCAATTTGTTATCATCATTATCTAAACGCTTTGTCTATAGAGACATGAATTCTTTGAACGCGGCAGCGGCATCATGAATTTGAATAAGTTTGACATACAAGCAGAGGAGGAACCTTATCTGTCGCTAGAAAATAGAAATAAATCTAATCTGGCCATAACCACAGTCGTGGTTTAGCTCTATCGCCGCCAAAATAATTATCTAAATAAAAGTACGTGTTAAAATAATTTGGCAGTTGTGGTCCGTAGTCCCTCGTTTTCAATATGTTCAGCACTTAAATTGCAGCGTTCATCCTAAGATATTTACACCAAGAAAAAACTCACACAGTTTCCCCAAGTGGAAGCGTTGTTGAGATTTCCATGAACAACACTTGACAAGGGATGATGGAAACTCCTGCCAAAATACACCACTTACAGTAAAATTTTAATAAATATCAAGTCGCACACAGCTTTGGACTAATTAACCAGCTCTATAACTTTCCACATTTGATGAAGATATTCATAACTTACAAAATTTTGAGAAAAAATCTGTACATATGATTTGAACTAAAAAACAAGTAAGTTTCTGAAATAATAATCAAGAATTTTATTGAGCTTGCAGCCGTTTTTAATAAAAAATGTTGTGAAAAAACTACATCAATTTACGCATGGCAAAAGTTTTAGCTGCTATTTAGGAGATCACACATATCTCCTCATCAGACTTCTTCATCGAGTTCACTGGGACTTGAACCAGGTACTCCTAAAATACAATTTGACACTTTTCAAACACAAACTTATTCACTGTATACCAAATACGAATGCATATTAACTGGAGGCAACGGCTAAATGGCAACTAGGCGCAGTGCACGGACTCCAAAAAAAATATTGGTAGATTTTACATGCAAAAAATGGTAGGATTTTTTTAAAGAAACATTTTAGGGTTTCACAACGGTGTCATAAGTGTCGTATTGTTGTATGTCGTAAACTTTAAATGCCAAAAAAATATATTAAGGGGGTTCGCAAAGTACCATTCAAAATTTCAAAATGAGCCTAATGGTCTTCAAAAATAGTGCCGAAAGGAAGATTAAAGTGCCACAGAATTAAAATTTCGTTCTTTCTGACACATTTACACATACATACAGTGAGACATTTTGACCAGTTTTAGTTTTTATTGATTCTATATAAAAGTCTAACTCATAAGAAATTTAACACACACCATATATATGTACCAAAATCGACATTTCAAACTTTGTACAAAAACTATAAAAACTCAGCAGCTTTTCGCACAACAAACCTTTAATTCTGAATTTTTAGAGAGATTCCAAGTTTACAATTTTATGCTTTTTTTTCATATAAAGTGTGCTCGACAGTTTTTTAAATGGTTGAAAACATATGACACCGTCAGGAAAAAAAAAAATATCAAAAATCACGGGATTTTGGAGATACTTGCAATTTTAATAAATGACTATAAGACCGCAAACTTAGAAGCTTTCTAAAAAATTCTGAATTAAAAGTTTGTTGTTGCGAAAACTTACTTTTTGTGCTGCGTATTCACAATATAATTCAGCTTTTTGTCAAGAGCTGCCACACAATATTTCTCGTGGACCTTATTTTAATTTTTAAGTGCTTTTAATCTTCCCCTTTTTGTAATTTTTTAATCTATGTGATTTTTTTTTACATATTGGCATATT